CCAATAAATGTATTAAGTAACATGTTAAACAATTATTTTCTATAAAAAAATGTCATAGTTTAATATTTTAAAACGTACTTGTTAATTCATTCCAGAAATTAACTGTTAAATATTTTATTTATGAATAAAATTGCTTTTATTGTAGAATCAAAAACAATTTATTTTAATACCAGTACATGGCATGTAGAATCTTTTACGAACACCAGCGTAAAATCGAGTGTAAAACAGTTGACAATAAAGATTTTTTGAATAGAAAATACGAAAGAGACAGAAAAATGGCGGAAATATATACTGCAGTTCCCATTGCCTTTTAACAATAACGAAAATAATTTTCAGGAAACCTTTTTTTCGTTGAATGTACTCATATACAGGGTGTCTTACCGTGTTTTATCGATTTTTATTTCGGCTGTAAATATCGAAATATTTATTTTTTTATTTTTTCAATTGTATTTTATGTTAGGTGGATATGAATATAACTACCAATAAAAATTCCTTTCTCACCTTTCAATCACCATAAAAAAAATAGCTTTACAGTTGTTCTTATTATACAAATTTAAATATCACTAAATTGTGTAAGATATTATTCTAAAAACTTTAATGTAACGTACATAAATATCCGATGAATATTTCCTGAGTATTAGTTATATTAATTTATAGAGAAAAGTTAATCACAATATTTTACTTTTACACTTATCAATGATAATAAATATAAATTATTAGTAATTGGTAGCGTCCACATTACGCCTTAGATTTCTAAAATCGTTAAATTCTGATACGAACTGATACACAAGCTTATCATGAACGTACAACTTTAACATTAATAGTTATTATGACGATAACATTTTTTTTTCTTGAATTTCTTACATCAATTATTTATGTTATCTCCAGTGAACTTTTTTCTTATTTGTCCTTATTCGAAAATGATCAAGATATATTTCTAATATGACTGTAAACTTCCAGTTAAAGTATTAAATCAATACCTAAACTACCCAAATAATTTATTAGTATTATTCAGGAATTGTATAAAATAACGAAGAATTCTATGAAATAACTAATTATAACTTATAAAATTGGTGTGCCATACACTACCATTATTTCATACTATAACATTATCTGATACTCTAACTGGAACATATGCATATTTAAAATGTGTATGATATATTTTAAAATTAATGCCTAAATAATCGTTTTAATATATCTGTATTGGTAAGGTATTGCATACATTTTTAATGTTTTAGGTGTAGGATGTTTTCGTTAAGGTTATCGTTGGAAATACAATTCCATTGCACGAATATAAATTTTACTTGCCTCACTGATGATTAAAAGCATATCTAAATACTTATTAAAAGTGTAAATATCTGCTATTTTAAATTGGAAATTGAAAAATAAAATAAAATTAAGACAGAAAAAAAGAATAAATGTCCAATTCAACCGGAGATATTAATTTCTTAAGATATAATATATTCTATAATATATATAAATAAGAAATAATAAATATTTAAAATTATTTGTAATTTTCACTGTTTGATTACCAATTCTATAGAATATAATGTTTAATAGTACATGTATTGTATAGTTAGTTGTAGTGTTACCTACTTTAGAAATCGTATTAATTTAAATATTTTGGAATTTCTTTACTTTATACAAAAATTTTTTTTTCTTTTTTAGTACTTTTGTACTTGAAATAGTTTATACAGATAATTCACATGTATTTATTCGTAATCTGTTACTATTGTAAATAATAATTGTAATAATGTAATGTTCACAATTTGCCTATTTATATTAGTATTTTTTTATTAAATTATACCAATCTGGTTATTACAATTATACAACTATTTCTACCAAATGGAATATTTTATTTTTATTTTTGTTGTTGTTTGAATGTTTTTTAAATATATATTAAAGATCAACTCATATTATCTTTTTAAACTTCACTATTCAAGCGTATAATAAAATTTAAAATCCTTCAATTTTTTCATAGATACACAAATTATACATATATCTGATCTTAATCATATAGAATATAATGTTGACGCACCAAAAGAAAAAACTGTGAGTGTAATAATGTACTCGTAGAAGTAATTTTTATCGAATACATTACACAAAAAAAAAAAATTTTGTAGTAAGTTTACAAAATTACCATAGTGAAAACTCGAATATTTAACTAAAAAAATAAATATTATGAAATAAATCGCTTATTTGAAGATATGATAAAGTAATCGTTAAGCTAATTTACAGAAATAATATTGATTATTGAAATTAATTTAACAGTAAATTATTATAATTTTATGCGTTCTGTAACCGACTTATTTATTGTTGCATTTGTATATATATTATAAACATTTTTTTTTATTTCATTTTTTAATACTCATCTGTTTAATGAGTAGAAATAAATCATCTGAATCTAATCATCCGCGTGGAAAAAATCTTTCATTTCCTATTAAATATTGATTTTATTTAAAAACCGTTTATTTATTTAAAAATTATATTATATGCTGTATGTTATATTATTTTCTTTTGTATATTTTGTATATTTACATATAAGATCGCCGTTAATCGAACATTAACGTAAGTAAAATTGTGTACGATAAAAACAACGTTCAGCTTTGTTAAAAGTTTACGCACCAATATAATGTGTTTTACATAAGAATATCTAAAATTTTACACGCGTTAGTCACATGTATATCGTAGGGAAAACTACTGTATTGTATCAAAACACGTCCTTAAATCATAATTTTTACACATTGTTATTGTAACTATTTTTTTAATTTTTTTTTTTTTTATATTTCATCTTGTACAAAACGTTTTATTTGAAGACGTAATTTAAAGCCTAGAAGTATACGCATGCACGCGTCCGTGGCGAGTTCACATACTCTTGTTGCATAATTTTAAAGCATCTGATACCGATGACTGGAAAACGAAAATAGAAATTATTCGACGCACGTAAACGAAATTACTCAAGTGTGTAAGCGCCCTCAGCTTAAGATGCAATGAATATGTGTATAATATATATATATATATATATATACAATCAACATTTTCTGGTTACACGAAACAAATAAATACCACTGGAAACGTTGTCGGTATACACTGTAATCAAGAGGACAAATATAGGAAAAAAACATTAGACAGTTATCGTCTTCTTTCGCAAACATTATAAGTGTGTATCCACATGCGTTATAAACTGCTGTGTACGAAAAGAAACTGAAGAGTTCATTCGAGCAAAATGCTTGATTTCAATAGGTTATTATAAATAATTAGTTAAATAGCTACCCAATACTAAAATTTGTGCCGATAATATACAAATCTTTGTAAATAATTTTTACTTTGCATTTTTTTTCACGATTTTTTTTGTTCGATTTATAACTATCTGGGATGGTTTTTTTTTTTAAGTAAAGTGTATTTTCAGTTATTTTTTATAATTTTCGAGAAAAATCACGTATTAAACTTCATTTAATTGAATTATTCTACTCATATAAACGAAATATACTCGGCAGAATATATAAAAATTATTTTCTAGATTAAAATTAGTTTACAAATTCAAATTTATGTGCTTATAAGACATTACCATGTGAGCATAATAACAACATATTCAATACATTAGTACATTTATCGACCGAATTAATATTACATTTTGCGTATAACTGATTAGTGGAATGTCTAAGTTTGAAAATACTATCTCGTAAATGGGAACTATTCGTTACGGGCCGAACACGTTTTGTTGCGTTCAGATATTGTATAATTAGTTACGGTTTATATTAATAACTTCTGTGGAAAATAATAATACATACGCTATTATTTATCTTATCGCAATATTAATCATTGGACAAAACACAATCATAGCTTGAACACATAATTATAGCTTTATGTTCGCTGAAAATATAAAACGAATATAGTTGGTGTTTAGGAAAATTAAAAAAAAAAATTTTAGAACAGCTGTAAGATGGTTAAAAGTAGAAAAATGCAATTTCCTTACTATTAAAATATGGTCTTTATCTCAAATTTAGAGGGAGGGGAATTGTAACATTTAACCGAGCAAACGATGGCGTGTTATCATAATCGAACAGATCTTGTCCGTTGTAAATATAACCAATCAAACTAAATCTAATCGAGTCTGGAGAGTATCAATTCGAAAATCGTTATGCATGTACGAGCCGTAAAAGTAATGTATAATCGTTCAGACTGGCGTTGTACCAATAATCGTCGGCAGTGGGGTAAGGTCTTAAAAGGTCTTAAGAAACGCGAAAGCGTCGCATTTGTACACACGTAGTACGATACATCCACGACTGCGATGCATTATGACAGTGATAATCAGGGCTAGGAATTGTATGCAACAGCATTTTTCTTTTTGCGACTTTTGATTATTGATTTTGTCAGTAATGTCCACGAATCACCTCATTATGAGATAAATGATAGTGTTTTTATTTTACATGTTTTTGCATATTTTGGATAAAATGTATATTATTGCATATTTCGATTATAAGAATGCGAAAAATGAATGTTTTATAGTATATTTCGTAACTAATATTTATAATTTAATATTAATATTTCGTATTTAATTCTAGCCCTGCTGATTAAAATATAAAATTTGTTTTTTTGTCAAACATAAATTTTATTTTAAATTATTTTATTTTATTATATTTCTCAACTATATTAAAACAAACAGCCAACCACTAATGTACAGGAATATTTTTTTTGTAATTTTACTTTTGTGTTAATCTTATACAAATTTAAACGCATACTTAAAAATTTCTCATCGTATACGAATCCTAGCCCTGGTAATCATATATGATTTTGATCGCGACTTTATCCTGCTCGATCGATCGTTTTACGACAACGTTACGAGAACCGGTAAGAATACTAGTTCGCGGGCGATCGGCTCGGGAATACGCAAGTATTAGTGTGCGTTTTTTACGCGTTTTCGCACGACCTTCGCAAGCGGGTGAGCCGGACGAACGTGCGCGCAACAGGCACGCTCGGGACGAATCGTTTCCGTTTACCTGGCACGACGGTCGGAGATATCAACAAGAAGTTTATACAAGCAGCACCAGGCCCGTGACCCATCAGTGAAACGTTATCCGGGTCGCCGCCAAACGGAGCTATGTTCTGTTGCACCCAGTGGAGCACTGCTATTTGGTCCATCAGACCGTAGTTGGACACGCGGGCTCTGGAGTTGGGTGAGCCATTAACGTTTAAGAATCCTGAAAAAAAAAAGAAAACCGATCAATGTCGACTGCGTTGATATAATATAAACACATTAAAAAAAAAAAAAAAAAATTGTAGATAATATCGGGACGTGATGAGAACGAAATACATGAGGAAAAACGGATTTCCAAAAACTATCCATATTAAAATATCTACATCACATTATACGGTACAACAGTCGGTAAACGAACAGTTTTGATATCCGCATTATCTTTTTGCAGTTCTCAGTTTAATGTATTAATACAACTGCCGAAAAATTAATATGTATGATTTCGATGTTAGATGAAACCTTTGTATGATTTTTAACGTTTTTTATATCATGCAAATACATTCCTATGCAGTAAAATTAATAAGCCTCAACGTAAGTCGTGTTTATTGCCAAACCATCGAAGTACGTAGATTTCTTATAACATATTAATTATGTTTTTGGTAACTGGAGCAATTCCACTCAGGTAGACATTAAACCGTAATTTATGTACACTTAATAATATAAGTAATTACGAGTTTGCAGTAGTTTTCAAAACGGTTATACAGCTATGTTGATTTTATGGCGTTTAGAAGATGGGCAGTAGATTCTAAAAAAGTATATTTTTCTAATAGTTCTAATGGACATTCACGGCCGTCACATTTTATGCGAGTAGTAATTATATTATTACAATGCAAGTTGAAATTAGTTTGAAAAGTAACCCTAGAATTTATATCCACTAAAACTTCAGTTGATTTAAATAAATAAGTATCATACTACAGATATAGTTTTTTAGTGCAATCAAAACAAAATATTTAGTTAGTATATTAAATCTAAACGATCAAGATTTTTTTTTTTTTTTTAATTGCTTTTATCTAAAAAATATTACTGCTTGACAATTATGTTTTTACTATGAAAATATACCTATTAAAAATGATTTGTGTTGTAACACAGTGGTTGTGATGCATGACGAAAAAATGTAAATAAATTACAATAATTTAAATGAGTAAATCTCCATCGATAATGATGAATAAAATGATGGAGGACGATCGAAGATTGAGAAGAAGGATTATATCAGGGGAAGAGTAGCCAAGAAAAGAGAGTGTGCAGAATAATGAGTTGCGGAGAAGAGTAAGAGGAGGGTATGAAAAAAAAATGTGATATAAGTGTGGAGAGTGCAAATATGAGAAGAATTAAATGAAAAAAGAAAAGAAGATCGGCTGTTTCATTGTCTTGGATTCCAATGTGGCTTAGAAATGAGAAGAATTCGACGACTTTGTGCGATAATAGAAGTTGATAAGTCAGATTTTATTATGAAAACGAGTGTAAAAAATGGAAGAATTGAAGGGGTGGGGTTGAAGAATAAGTAGTCATGATTGGGAATTGGAAACTATTAGGAGCCGTTGAGAACTTACAGAAAAAATAAATTGGAGGACGTGAATGATGGCATGATTGATTTGAAAACGTATATTTTTCCCTCGACCCCGATAATGCACAGACTTAAACACTCGAGAAGAATAAGATAATCGATTAAAGGAACGCACAATTAAAGAAAAATAATCATAGTTTAACCATATTGTTAAGAAAGACATTGTTTACAGAATTTATCGATTTAAAAGTTGCACAGATTTCAGTTCATATGTATCATACCGTGGTCGTGGTACAAATAGACACAGTTAAAATCTGTTTTTATTTTTGCAAAATCGCTGTGGTGCAAAAGGAAACAAGTCTAAGATAAAAGGTAATCTCCAAGTCTTTATACCGTATTTGTAACCAGACGAGTTTTCAAAATAATCATTGAATGCTCATCGCTATTGATATTGTATCGTGTTTTCTTTCGAACTCGAGTGGGCTACACTTGTAACGTACTCGAAAAATCGAATAATTTATATAATACAAGCATATAACAATGACATTATTTTGTGGTCGTTTTTGGAGCTTAATTGTTATTTTGAGACGCTTTTATATTTTATTTTCATAATCAACTAACATCTTAGTTTTATTTTATTACTTTTCACTAAACGTTACCTTTTAAGATTATAACATAATTTAATTTCTAGGGGAAAAAAATGAATGAATAAACAAAACGAAAACAGCAATGTGAATCAGAGTATAAAATACTGCAGCGAAGAAGTAAGTGCTGAAACTTCTGAGAACAGACCCTTCTGAATAGTTGTGGGTAGGTTTGACTTCCCTTATATGAAAGTACATCATGATTATTACTTTGCAGTTTCAAAATATTTGTGCGCAGCATGTTCACAAAGACCTGCTTCACCGGTACTACCGTTAATCGAATTCAACGGTGTACGCGACCCAGTCATTTTTCTACCAAAAACCGTTCAAACGCCCTTTCGGTCGATGAAAAAAACAACAGGTTATAATGGGGCATACGTAAACTGCGCCCAAATCACCCCTTTTTTTTTTTTTAAGCTGCGTCCAGATTTTATCTATGCTGAAAAGGTATAATATAAACTGCGCTCAAATTGTAATGCCCAGGAAGTGTATCTGAGTATTTTGTGAATATATAAATATATAAAAATATATAAAAAAAATTATTTAAATTAAATCTAAGCGTGACGACGAAAGAATAACAAGATTTTTGGATTATTTGGTAGATGTTTATATAAGTGAAGAAGCTCAAATACACCTGAAATATGAGCTCAAGTATCAGCAAAACCAACTTTAACCATTAATGTATACGAGTCATTTCATTCTTAATTTATATCTAGCTTTTATACAACGCATCCAAATATTTTTAAGTTAATTGAAAAGTTAAAAGAATTTCAAGTTAAAATATATATTTAACTAAATAGTGTAAATGAACGTTTTAAATACCAAAATTCTAAAACGCGAAATGTTACAAAATTTAATTAATAAACATAACAGTGGTTATAACTCTCAGTATAAATATAACTTAGGGTGACCATATTTATGAGAAAAAAAAAACGGGACAAATATATTCTCTAAAATAAAGACCATATTTTTTTTAACTTCTATATAATATGCAATAAAAATAATTTTTATTTAGTTTAATATTTTAATAAAAGATTTGCATTTTTTTTGCTGTGAGATTGAAAAAAATTACATAAAATATTCTTTATTTTTATTGAGTTGATGTCGATTGTTCATAATTTTCTTCATTTTATCCGTTGACATTTATTTTATATTTTTTTGATGAACTGATTGCATTTAATAGTTTAGCTCGTGTTAACAAAAAATCATAAAAACCAATACAGGAATATTTTTTAAAATTATTTTTAAGAATTATTATTAGTTTGACAGTTGGTACGAGAAAACGATTTTTTTCGTCCGTCCATAAAATATTTGTGATAGAGAATATTCTTTCTATTATTGCATTAGTTAATCTACAAAGATACAATGAACATATATTTCTTTTTTGAGAATTTTAAAAAAAACAATAAAAGTAATAACACTAACGACTCACAACAATTTAAATAAAAAGAACTGATACACAGTGGCTATAACATTAGTAACACTAGATCGTTGCAATGTACACAAGTTACTGCACAACTATGTTCGATTTTTTTATACCTAATATACCTATTATACCGAATATTGTTGATTATAAATAGTAATGTACATTGTTAAACTATTTGCATTTAGTATCGATTTCGTTAGAAGTTTTGCACATGAATTCTTAGTACATATATATGACATGTCTTATTTTTTTTTTTTTTTACTCTCGGTTTACGATTTTTATGGAAGTAACGGGATTAAAACGGGACCCTATTCTAAAACGGGACATAATGATAAGAAAGAAACAATCCAGTTTTAAATGGGACGTATGGTCACCAATAAATCACAACACCATAACTCCAATCGATGATCCAATCAACAATATGACGTAATGTATCCTAATATTATCTTTTTAAAATTATATATTTTTAACCTTTAATTTTAATTATACGAGTATTATATTGTTTTAATGGATTAAGTATAAATTAGAGATTGCAAATTTAGATCAGTAATTTTGTACTTTAGATTAATTTTGCAAAAATATAGCTACTCGTTTTTTAAAATTTTACCCGAGTGCAGTTTACACGTATGATTTCGTGTGTTGCCTGTGCGCTGGGTGGAGTTTATACAATCGCCGTCTCATTGATAACGTTGTTATCTGCATTCGGAAATGTTTTGATGACTGAAGAGAAAAACATTGCATGAAGGGAACGCGTGTACGGTCGAGTTTACGCGTACGCATACCTCGTCATTAACCTAACCAGGGACAGGGGCGAGTTTAAGGGGTTGTCTAAGGGAGCATTAGCCCCCTCCTTTGGGACTAAGCTAACTATTTTACAAAGCTAAGTATTATTATATATTGATGTATTAATAATTATTATAAAATATCATCAATGGTCATTGATGAATATGGTATCTATTTTATATATTTTTTTTTATAAATAAATAGCCCATTTTTGTAGTTAATTAAAAGTGTATACCTATATTTTTAAAATAGTTTCAGTATAATATCGATACCAATAATTTTACTATTGTGAAAAAAATTACTTAATTATGAGGGACTCAAAAACATATTCTGTAATTTAAAATTGTATATAGATTTAGAAAACAACTAACTAAATTCTTAAACCTTCATTAGCCCCTCCCTTGATGAGTGATAAAACCCGCCCCTGACCCGAGAACGGTGTTAGTAATAGATACGGGCAAGCGGATTGTAGGGCGAAAACGAAAAAAAATAAACGAACGCGGTCATCGTTATCGTTAGCGAGCGTGTGCGAACGGTGCGTTTCCTTTTTGACGCGCGGGACCCCGTGCCTTACGTCTGTCCTTACGACTGTCGCTGTGTTTTGCCTCTTGGCCTTTAGGGTTTCAATTAAGGGAAAAAATGAGTTTTGTTTTTCGAAACATCTAAAATATGCGATAACAAGCCACGAGTTCCGGTTCACACCAGTTTTCGTTGTTCGAAAAGTAAATATTTTTATATATATTTTTTTTCATTCACAAATAAGTTGGTCCACAACAACAGTTTACGGTTTTCTTTGTACACAAAACTTT